ATATCTTGTATTCAACCTTGCATATCCCATATCCTGCATCCCGCAGCCTACATCCTACATTCCATATCCTACATCTCACCTCCAATGCCCCATAATCTTCATCCTGTATCCTACATCCCTTATCTTGCATCCAATCTCCCAAATCCTACACCTTGTATCCCGTACCCTGCATCCTACATCCTGAATCCCATATCCTGCATCTCAAAGCCCATATCTTGCATCCGATCTCCTACATCTCATCTCCAATGTCCCATAACCTGTGTCCTGTACCCCATATCATACATCCCACAGGCCATATCTTGCATCCAACCTCCCACATCCCACTGTAGCCCATAGCCCATACCCTGCATCCAACCTCCCACACTCTGCACCCTATCTCCCTCCATATCCCCATCATGCATTCCATAGCCCATATCTTGCATCCCACTTCCCACCATACCCCATATCCCATCTCAACACCCCATAACCTCTGCCCTATATATCATCTCATATCCAACATTTCACATCCTGCATCCCACCTCCAATATCCCCTATCCTGTATCCCGTAGCTCATATCTTCCATCCAACTTCCCACATCCCAGACTCTAAATCCTGCATCCCACCATAGGACATACTCCACATCCTATAACCCATACCTTGCATCCAACCCTCCACATCCCATATCCTGCACCCCACCTCCCACTGCTATGTTATTCCCCCATTAACACTCTCAGTCCAACCATATTTGGAAATGTCTTTTATTATTTCCGCCACTTGGAGTTGGTAACACCACAAGGTCCTATGTCATCGGACCAATGCCCTCACATGCAAAGAGCCTTAAAAACCCCTGCAAAAACTCCGTGCACCCAAAAGTAAGGGTTTAGGATCACGTTGTGCATGAGGTTTTCTTGCATCCAGGAAGATCTCAGCGAGATCAGTGCAAAAGGGACACGAGGGAGGCACAACGATCAGCAATTTGCTGGGAATAAATCCCAGCTGTAGGGACGAGTCATGCAATTGCCAAAGCATAGTGAGCCCAGGAGCTGTCAGAAGCAAATCAGCGATGTATTTCCAGTGTGATCTATACCTATGGGTGGACTTCTATACAGGGAGCAGGGCAGCAGAACACCGAGGAAGGAGCCAGGCTTAGAGGGAGGGAGCGTGCAAAAGGCAAACTTTGGCCAAGCCAGAATAGAAAAATCACAGTAATTCCCCCCCCCCCCCCCCCCCCC